AGGTCAGAAATGGAAAGTACGCAGAAAATTACATCAGAAAACATGTATTGGATCAAAACGAGGATTTGGCGAGGAACAGCCGCGGAAAGAGCGCGCCGCCAGCCGTTCAACTCTCATTTTCACCCCCTAGCGCCTTGAAAAGTGGTTTTAAGTAGTTTTTAAGGTCAGAAATGAAAAGTACGCGGAAAATTACATAGAAAAACATGTAATGGGTGACAACTAAACGATGATTTGGCGAGGAACAGCCGCGGAAGAGCGCGCCGCCAGCCGTTCAACCCCTATTTTCACCCCCTAGCGCCTTGAAAAGTGGTTGTAAGTAATTTTTAAGGTCAGAAATGGAAAGTACGCAAAAAATTACATAAGAAAACATGTAATGGGTAACATCAAAACGAAGATTTGGCGAGGAACAGCCGCGGAAAGAGCGCACGCCAGCCGCTCAACTCCCCCACTTCACCCCCCCCCCATCTCCGAAACCGCNAAATTTTTACCTGAGACTTGGGGCATCATATGCAACAATTTGGCGCAAGTCCCGTTGGCAAAATCGAGGGCCTAAAAAGGGGCGAATTTCGACCCATTTTTAACAAGGCTCTTTGTTATACCCGCACCACGCAAGTCGTGTGACGTGAAGTATCTGACGACAATCAAGGCGTTTCCAGCTGATGAAACAGCTGTATGGGGATAGCACGAAGATTTGTGATAATTTGAAAATAACTTTTGCATTTTTGGAGAATCTTCATCTCTGGGATCCATAATACAGTTCGTCTAATCTCAGGGAAAATGCGGAATTTTGCGGACGGGTCCAGCGTGCGTCAAGGAGTAAGGGGCGAAGGAGGCTAAGGGGCCGGGCTGATGGGCGGGGGGCCGGGGGGTCATACCGAAAAAGAAATCCGCGACTCGCTGACCGGGTCTGGGTCCAGCCAGGGATNGGGGGGGGGGGGGGGGGGGGCAAACTGTTGAATGTTGCGCGAATGTGGGCCCCGGACGTTGATTGATGAGCGCCAGGCGGCTCGGCCAGGCTCGGAGACTACTTGTTTATTAAAACTCAACGTCTCATTGTCTTATTAGTTTCCCTGAAAAATTGTTCGCATTCTTTGCCAGTCATCTTCCGCCTATTACAGTCAAGCGTCATTAGGGTCCCCCGTCCGGCTTCGGCCTTGCCGCCAACTTGCGCGCCAACCTCACCCTCAATCTTGCCTCAAGGCGACGGAACCAAAAAACTCAAAATAATACAGTAATAGAAAAAAAAAATATACACGTAAAATAATAAAAAAGAATCTCTGACTACTATAACTAGTTATCTGCGATAACTGGGAACGAACAGATAGACTCTTCAATAAATCCATCATGGGCGGATCCAAAGGGGGGGGGGCGTAGGTGTTGTACCCCCCCCCCCCCCCCCCCCCCCCNCCCCCCCCCCCCTACGTTCGCCCTAAAAAAAGGAGGAAGAAGAGGAAGGAAAGACACTGCTTATGTTTGGTAGTTATTCATGACGGAAACGACTCAAACTACACATCAGATATACTTTCAAATTTCGTAATTTTTCTGGGGGAGCCCCCGAATTCTCCTTACGCCCCCTCGGTCCGAAGAAACTGGATCTGCCTATGGCATCCATTTTCAATTGGTGATCGAAAAGTTCTTTGTATGTATTGGGGGAAAAGTGTCAAACCCCTGGTAAGCTCTTAAGAAGATCAGACGGATCGGAATACCTCATTCTAATTTTATTTCACCTCCACAAATTTTTTGTCCATGGTATGGCAGTGCGGGCCTACGAACTTAGAAGAGTTGAATTTTGAAACAAGGCCGGTTTGAGTTCCGGAATTTTTGAAATTCACCACGATGAAACGTTCCATTTAAAACATTTTCATCATATTTGACAACCGCGGTTCTTGGACTCACATCCTCTGGATGTACCTCAAGAAGTGTCAACACGAGGAACTAATGACAGTCCGAAACGGGCGGTCACAATAAATTGACGAACTCCATTCATTTTATTTTCAAAAAGGCACACGAGGAAAGAACGCGAAGAATTCCCGAGTATTGACGGCGACTCGCGGACCTCGACAAAGGATTTTTTTGGGGGGCCCGGCGAATACCGAAGTGACTGCTAAGAAAATATAGTTCGTGCTTTCCATCATGGAGGTTCAGAGTCCATATCCGCCGTGAGCTGCGACGGGGGGATATTATTTTTCCTTTTGTTGAAATGTCAGTAAATTTGGAGCGCTTTAAAGAATCAAATATATTGATCTGGTTCACATTATTAACATAAACGTTTAAAAGCGCAAATTATGAGAACGAGGATACATTGAAATTTGTATACTTGAGGACTCTGATGAAATGTTCTGAAGATCTCACGGTAATGCCTCTAAAAATGGTTGGCCGAGGCATTTATAATCGGGACAAGGATGACAACCGTCAAGATTTTGAGGCACAGGATCGTGAAGTACTGCGATCCGGGGATGCAATTTAGGGAAGGGCGTATAATACTCGTTTTGACTTTCTGAACGCAAAATGCCGAAGCCTCGATCCAACCAAACCGCAGTTTCTTCGAGGGACTCTTCAGTTTCACGCCCGCAGTTTTCAGCCTTGTCCGTCTTGCGAAGAGCGCATCCAAGACAGTCGTTGAAATTTTAAACGAGGAACATTTGAAAATGTTGCATCGAGGACAGCTCTGCCATGCTAAGGAAAAACGCCGTAAGAACATTCGGGTGTTGCTAAATTTCCTCCGATATAATGTTCATTTTTGAGGACAGCTATGAATATTTTCTCTTGAAATTTTCAGATGGTATAATTACCATAGGTATTATTACCTATAATTACCACGCTGTCTACTCAAACAAGCTGGCCAAAAATCAGTACTTTTACAGCACTTTTTCAGTACATTCCCAAGAGATTCAGTACCTCCTCAACAGAAAAATGCAGTACTTTTCCAGTACCTCTAATCGACGAAATTCGAAAAATTTCAAAAATTTGAATTTCTCGCTGTAATTGCGACAAAAATGACCAAAAATATAAAAAAAATGCCGGACCTTCTTGCGGAATTTCCGCACTTTTTCAGCACTACCGGACCGCGCTTGAAAAATCAGTACTATTTCCAGACTTTCCGGAAATTACGGACTTGTAGACACCCTGATTACGAAGAAAAGTCTCTAAAAATTGGACGGAAAATATTCATAAGTTTTTCTGAAAATTCAATTTCGATCAAAGAACATTTGACAACTGACGAAGGTTCATACGACGTTTTTCTTTAGGAAGGCAGAGGAAGGCGCAATCCCATAGACGTATTCATGCTGAAACGAACCATGTTGCATGCTAACTCTATGCACATACTTCCCTTCGACATAGAATCGTCCCCATAAAGCGTGGTGCGTTACATAAAACCGCGGTGGAGGACGCGGTCGAAACGGCCGGCCGTATCGGGGGTCAACCGATGTCCATTCGTCATGCTATTTACCGGGGCTGAACCCGGTGATGCCCGGAGCCTCCGGAATGTATCGCTTGTTTTCATCCGCTCGTAAATTACTCCTCTCATCAATTTATACGGCCGGCATAAATGAGTCGGGTTCTCCGGACAACCTTTGGGCCTATAAACTCCTCTGGGCTCACCTCAAACGACGTGCAGGCAGGTCGAGATCAATCGGTGCTTTGCAGTTACTCCTCATCGCATCTGCAAAGGAAATTCGCTGAGATTCCGAAAGAGGTCTCAACGTGACAGAATATCGACAGTAAGTCGGAATTTTTTAGCCAACGTGGGGTAAAAATCCGCATAATGCTGAAAATCTCAATACGGAGGGAAAAAACTCATATGAGCACAAGTTTCCCTCGGAGAGATTCGCTGTTTGGTGCAACACTAGCTACGACCCAGTTACGCCGTGTAGTTAAGTGCAGTATCGACAGTAAGTTGGAAGTTTTTAGTTAACGTGCGATAAAAATCCGCATAAAGCTGAAAAACTCAATACTGAGGGAAAAAGCTCATGTTAGCACAATTTTCCCTCAGAGAGATACGCCGTTTGATGCAACACTAGTTACGATGCAGTTACGTGCACCAAATAGCGCACCTCTTTGAGGAAAGTTGTGCGCAAATGAACTTTTTCCCTCTATATTGAGCTTTTCAGCTTTATGCTGATTTTTAACGCACGTTAACTCAAAAATTCCAACTTACTGTCGATACGACTTGTGCATCTACCGCAATCAGTTTGTGACAGAATATCTTGACTTTCAAAATTCACCGACTTTTTCATGACTTTTCAAAATTTTTAAACATAAAATTTCCTGACATTCTCCATTTTTTCTTCTTTTCTTTTCTCTTTTGCGACGAAACCGAAGTTTTTCGGATGTAAAAACCGAAGTACTTCAGATATAAGAACTGAAGTTTCAGATGTGTGATCCAAATCTGCAGCAGCTGGACCTTAAATGTTCAGACGCTCAAGCTGAAAACTTCAGAGATCCATATGACCTAAACTTCGGGTCCCACGCACGAAGTTTTTTTCTCCGTGTAGACACCCTGGGGGGATATGGCGGTTAGGTGTCGCAGAGCCGGAGGGAGCGCTGTGAAAGCATTTTCATGTATCTGTTCGGACTTACCAGGAGCTTGAGAGGGTTGGTTGTGGACAGCCTCGAGACGGGGGTGTTAATCCTGCGTCCGGCTTTGAGCTGAGGATCGGCGAAGAGACCGGCTCGTCCGAGACTCCTCATGATGATGTCGGCGCCCTCGAGGCGAGGCCGGGCCTGGGGCGAGTAGATGGCCACGAGGCCGGTCCGGTTGACGGCGAGCACCCGGAGGGCGCCGGCGCCCGGGTCAGGGGCGACGCGGGCCGCCTGCTCGGGCGTCTGCTCCAGCTGCCGCCAGCCGCGCCCCGGCCCCGGCGCCCGCCGCAGCACCACGTAGACGAGGGCGCCCACCGACGAGGACGGCGCCCCCCGCGGCCGCGGCCACCGCACCCACGACGCCTCCGCGCTCAGCACCCGCTCGCCCGTCGTCATCTCCACCGGCGCCCGCTGACCCCAAGTCCCGTTCCGCCACGACTCCGAGTGGAACTTGCACGCTTCTTGGCATCCCGCGAACTGAAACAAATAGAAAAGAAAATTAGCCACGGATGTGAGACAGCAGTATTTCTTTAAAAGAAAAAGAGCATTTACAGTTAAAAACACTCAAAGTACCTTCATATACACTGACAAAAATTTCCCCATTGTGGGGCGCAACCCACAAGCACCACTAACTTGTGGCCAAAGTGCGAAACCACACTTGCAGTGTTCCAAAATTTCCGCTCCTATTATATTTTCACGAAGAACAACAAGCTACATTAATATCTTGACATTTACACGATTAGGAAAGTTCTCAAGAAATCACCCGTAAGTACGGCTTCCACGGAGGTTTTTCTTTCTGTGGCCATTGGACTAGTTGATCCTGGTTCTTCCTGACGCTTTTTTTTTTCAGCTCGGACTTTCCTCGGTTTTTCCTGTCTATACCCGGTGGACGCAAGACGCTCCACGTAATTTTTTTCTCGTTTTCCGATCCTGAGCATGAATGAAAAAGGAGTTAGGGAAGGAGGTCCGGGGCGGGAAGCTGAGGAGCTTAGGAGCGCGGCTTTTTTACCGGGCACAATGCTGCCGTACGAAGGAAGAACGCCGTATGAACCTTAAGGCGTTGCCAAATTTCCTTTGATAAAACACGAATTTCCTGGTAAACTTATGGGTATTTTCCTTTCAATTTTTTAGTATATTTAAGTAGCAATTTTACCTATAGATTCTGAAAATTTAAAGTAAAAATATTCATAACTTTCCTAAAAAATAACCATTTTACCGAAGGAAATTTGGCAACTCTCGAATGTTCATACGGCGTTCTTCCTTAGCACGGAAGAATGGACCCGGGTACGCTGGACGCCTTGCGAGGGAGTTAAAAACGCATTACCGGACGAAGCGGCTTACACGCCGCAACAAATTAGTGAGTCGTTAGCCGCCCCGAAAACGATCCGAGCACGATTCTCGGCGACGGCGACGCTTTTGTCGGGCAGGAAAAGGAAGGAGAGGAGAAAAAACGCAGGAATCCAGCGGATATCAATTGTCCGCCACCGATCGCGGGACCCCTCCGCCGGCGGTGGCGGCTCAAGACTTTTTCTCAATGGCATTCGCCCGGTCACTTTCACTGAGGACGTGGTTCATTTGATTCGGGCCCCGCGACCTCCGACAAGGGGCAAGCCGAGCGTCCTCTCCTTCCTTCCGTGTAGTGCGGGTTGTATGAATTCAAAGAGATGGGATGAAAAATGACACTTCTCACGCTAGGGTGTCTACTAAAACAGGCTGGCAAAAAATCAGTACTTTTACAGTGTTTTTTCGGTACTTTCCCGACAAATTCGGTACCTCTCAACAGAAAAATTCAGTACTTTTTCAGTATCACGACGGGAAATGGAGATTTGACGAAATTCGGAAAAATTCAAAATTGTGAATTTCTAGCTCAAATTGCGGCAAAAATAAAAATTTCGGACCTTCTTGCGGAAATTCCGCACTTTTTCAGTAATTCCGGACCGGCCTTAAAAAATCAGTGCTATTTTTGAACTTTCCGGAAATTTCGGACTTGCAGACACCCTGAAGTTATTGAAGAAAAATTCAGTGCTTTTTCAGTACCTCCATTTGATGAGATTCGAAAAATTTCAAATTTTTGATACCCCTCTCAAAAATGACACAAAAATGAAGAAAATCGCGGACATTCTAGCGGAATTTCCGCACTGCAGTATTACAAGATTATTGCATGGTAAAATGTTTTATCGTTATCCTCTATTGGTACATAATGAGTGATGGCTTTTCCCTCCTGCCTTCAGTGGTACATCGGCGGTCATTGTCTGAAACACATAACAAGGTCAAAACGTGGCAACACGGCATTCTTAATGGGAGTCTCGCAAGACTAGTGGCTAGTAAACCAGTGGCAAAACAGATTCTTAATGTCGGCCCCCAGGGCTCCATCTCAGCTCCGGCCCGGTCGCGATGGAAACAAAGTAGCTGGAGGATTTAAGCAGGTCTCACAGGAAACATCTTTAAAAGCGTCCGTAATTACAATGATTTGACGGGGTCCGGGGGCGCGAAGGGGGAAAAATAAAATGATAAACGTAAAAACACGCCGGGCCGCGTGAAATGGACGAGGCGGGGAAATATGCCGCACTGTGGCGCTTAATCACATAATTAAACACTTCGGCCACCAGAGGTCGCCGATGATCGGGCAGGTGTAGGGTACGCGAGTCTTAGAGTGGACGCTGCTTAAAAAGCGAGCGTGTAGGATTTTGAGTGGATGCAAAATGTTGGAATTGAAAAGGGTCACAATGTTGCCGCATTTTGTCGGATGGTTGATGTATTGCGACTGAAAACATTTTCAGGAGCGATTTTACGAGCGTACCGATGCTGAGGTAATATTAATGTCGATTCCGGAAAAAAACTCCATCTCTTACTACTGGGAAATCTCTCGCGACTTACAGACGTTTTTACAGGATTGCTTAATTTCGATGGTCAAATTTTTCAGTAGCTATTAGATGTTTCCTGACTTTGCACGGTTTTCCCTCCAGCTTTTCCGAAAGATACAATTCCCAAAAACGTACTTCGGGTCCGGGTTCCAAAAACACGCGTGGTATGAAGGAAAAAATTCCGGACCTACTTGCGGAATTTTCGCACTTGTTCAGTTCTTCCGGACCGCCCTTGAAAAACCAGTACTATTTCCGACCTTTCCGGACTTATAGTACACCCTGCATGCACTGAAAAAAAAAAATCTTGGGCTATACAGGCATACCGTTCGTTCTGGACTCAGCGGCCGAAAGTTCCGGTTGCTGGAGCCGTAACTTCGACTACTCCAGGTGCCAGAGCCGGAACTTTGCCTGAAAGTATTGCTGGTTTCCTATCTTTAGATTTTAAACAACTTTGGTTCAGCACTTTTGCAATCTCAGCAGGTTGCAACTTTGTCTTCCGATCAGATCGCCGAAAATCGGCACTTATCGACCAAAAGTTAACCGAAAGTTGCAACTTAATTGCAACTAATACCAACATTGTTTCAACTTGTTGCAACTTTTACATTGAAAAATGCTACTTGGGCCGTAAGTACGGTTTCCACGGCCAGAGTTTTTTTTTCAGTGTACGAACCGAAGTTGAGCCCATGTAAAGGAGATTTTTCATTATTTGAGGGTCGAGTTTTTCGGGTAATGAGCAACGCCGCTGAAAGGGCGAATGTCTCGGGGCCGCGGCCGGCGAGCGGGAAGCGGCAACGGAAACGACTTTCGGCGCGGCTACTTATCGGCGGAATGTTCCTCTACTGCTCTTCCCGTTTTCTTTCAACGAGCGGCTACCGGCCACGGACGAGCTAATAATTAGGCCCGAGCAACGGCGGCCACTTCGGAAGCCTCGATTCGACGGCTAATAGATCCGAGGGTCCCGAATCCCGGACTCCCATTCACTCGTTCACTTTCCGGCGAGGACACGCCTCCTCCGTCATCCGCACGCAATCCGGACCGAAATCCCACATTTTGAGGCCTCAGAGATCAGAGAGGTCGCTCGGGAGACTTGCAGACGAGGGATGTACCTATGTAGAAGAAAGTGCGGACATATTGGAAATTTTGAGGTTAGGTGACGGAGCTGACAGGGTCCGAGAGGGCAGCCAATCTTAGAATTCAAATTTATCCAGACAGATTTTTAATTAAAAATGGATTACATTTTGCAATGAGGTACCACTATTTATGGCCAATTTTAGATACAACATACATGCCATTGGTTTTCCTTTGCAGATATGTGCTTTTATGGGAGAGCCAGAGATAGTGGTTCCTTTTTGCAAAATGTAATCCAAATATTAAGACTCGTCGCTAAAGCACGTACGCAGTTTTGGCACAAACTCATTTTTGCGGAAGAACGCGTATTCACGAATATTTTTGGCCACTTTGCTTTGATATTGAAATCTGAAGATTGGTAGTGATAGAGTTCGTGTTCAAAGGTCGGCTGTCCTTTTGGGCCCCAAGAGCTCCACATTTTAACATTTCTGTACTCTCTCTCTGTATAGGTATTCTAGGTAAAACTAGGGTGCCTATAGATTCGGCGGAAAATAACCTGACTCTCCCATGGTTTCCCAGAGAAAAAAATGTTTAAAATTCACAATATTTCTACTGCTGACCTGACAAGTTTGATTTTCCGAAAAGTTTGCCTTTCGTGACACTGGTAGTCCCTGATTTCCCTAATCTAATGAAATTCCCTGTAGATTCCTGGTTTTTATGACCCATAGACATTCTCTGGACATTCTGCGAGTGTCAAGTTTCGCGGTCCCACGGGCAGAACCCCCCCCCCCCCCCCCCCCCCAGGAGGACAGGAGCGGCGCGGGGGGCTGGCGGCCGACAATAGCCACTAACAAGAAACACTGGGCGGGCCGAACTCATCATCGAAAGTTTACAGCTTCCGCGGTGGCTCTGATTTTTATGCCGCCATCGTTTACACACCTACACCGCAAAACGCGGCGCAGGGCTCGCTCTTCCACCGCGCGGCTGACATCTTTAGGGCCTTGACACTGTTCCAAGATGCGAGACGCGCGGAGAAAGTCCCGGGTCCCGAACACGCGCATGTAAGCGTAAACACGCGCGCACGCATCCCAGCTCTAATGAAGGAAAGACGAAGGGCGGGACCCCTCTTCCGCCGTGCTAAGGAAGAACGCCTTATCAACATTCCAGAGTTGCCATGTTTCTTTTGGTCAAATGTATATTTTTAAGGAAAGTTACGAATATTTGTCTTTGAAATTTCCAGGAGATTTAGGTAAAATTGCAAAAAAATCATCTTAAAAATTGGGAGAAAAATATTCATAAGTTTACCAGGAAATCCGTGTCTTATCGAAGGAATTTTGGCAACGCCAAAATGTATATTTTTAAGGTAAGTTATTGATGTTTTCCCTTGAAATTTTCAAGAGCTTCGGGTGAAATTGCGAACCAAATGGAATCAGTGAGAATGAAAAGACACCAACTCGAAAAAATGAAAATAATTAAGACGCACACAAAACTGCACAGTTGGCGCAGAAGTTAGTGTAGGATAAAGATTTTTGGTGCCGAGAGACA